AACACTGCTACCTGGGCCTAGCACATTGTAAGAGTTCAGAAAATATTTATAGAGGAAATGAATTTAAAAATGAGTGAATGAATATTCATTTTCAAACAGATTCATGGGCACGCCATTCATTCCCAATCTGAGACCTCTGACTCTTGTCTCCAGAATGTATTTATGAGCTCAGCAATGGCCCTGTGCTCAGGACTCCGAGCTTCCTGTCCCAGGGGAGCCCTCTAAGTGCCTGAGATGCTGTGATGGGAAAGACTGTTCTTTGGGAGATCCCTTGGCCCAATAGATTCTATATTATTTGGAGGAAGTTGAAAAAGATCAAAGGTATTGATGACAAAACCTGGGATTAAAGGTGTGTGTCACCACACTCCATCAGTTTTTATTATTATGTATGTGGGGGTGTGTACATGCCATGCCATGTATGTGGAGGAAAGCAGACAACTTTGTGGAGTCAGTTCTCTCTTTCTCTTTCTACTTTTACCTGGGTTCTAGGGATCAAATTCAGGTCAGGCTTGTGTGTGGCAAATGTTTTACCCACTGACCCATCTCGCTAGCCCAAGTTCTTTAACATTTTAAATAAAGTGGCTGAACTAATTAGATCAGTCATGAATACCAGCTCAGAGTGATCTCTGCTACCTGGGGCAAAGTCCCCAACTCAATGAACAGTTCACAGAGCTGAGGCATGCTCCTCTGCAAAATAGAAATACGACTATGTTTTGAACTTGGCTTACAAGGTGCGAGGAAAGTAGCAGCACATTTTTCAAATGGCGCGCCCAGCAGCTGACTCAGCAGGAATGTAATTTATGCAAATAAGTCCCTGGATTTCAAAGTGACTTTTTCTTATCACACTAAACCCTTTTAATTTAGGTATTGATTCCTAAACATAGAGTGGGCAGAGACATTTTCAGTCCAAAACAAGGCCTGTTTAAAGAAGAGGAGGAAAAGAAATCCCATTCTGGAAGGTTCTAGGGAAAAGAAGTCAGTGTTTGGATCCTAAACAATATCCTGTGGCATGATGATTCTGATTTCACCCAGTCTTTGGAAGAGTTTATCATAATTTAGAGAGAGCTGCATATTTGAGGATTTCAATATGCCACAGAGTTGATGGTAGGATTCAGCTGGTTTCAGTCAACTGTGACGGAAGGCACAAATTTCCCAGCGTAGTCACAAAGCTCTTGTTCTGGATCCAAGGCAATCACCACTTAGCATGTGATATTAATCAAGCCACCTATTTCTAGGTCTCCATTCCTGTGTGTGTGCATGTGTGTGCCATAGGTTGACATCAGCTGTCTTCCTCAATTGCTTTCCAACTTATTTTTTCATTTTTTATTTTTGTGACTGTCATATGAGTATTATCTTTGCATCACTTCCATCCCTCCCAGTCTCCCACCAACCCCTCCCATGTCTTCTTCTTGTTACATATACATACATACATACATACATACATACATACATACATATGATGCACTGAGTCCTGGGTGCTGGGATTACAGATGTGAAAGCACCACACTTGGCTTTCATCTATTATTTATTTTTCATTTATTAAACTAGATCTGCAGGGGAAGCAGAAACAGGAGGATGCCATAGCCAAACTGGTGCACTAGATGATTCCTTATTAGCCATTTTGGCATTGGGTTTTCCAAAGCCAATGGGTTTGAAATTTTTTTTTTTTTTTAATACTATGACCCTCAATAAGAAAGGGACTTTATTTTTAAGACCATGCCCTGCTATGTAGTCCAGGCTGACCTCAAACTCATAATTCTTCTTCCTCTGGCCTCTGATAGTGCTGGGATTACAGACGTATACCATCATGTTCTGCAAGGAGTAAATTTTCTATTGCAACCTAACACTATATTTACAGATGTAGATGTAAATGTTATATACACATTTAGTATGTTATACTCACGTGCATATACATAACGTGAAATAGTGTTATGCAATAATATTCCCCCTATTTAGCTCAGATACATTATGGTATCTTCTATTTCATTAGGAAAAAGTTGGCAAATTCTTACTACACTGACTTTATGATTCATGGGTTGACAGTCACTCCGGCTAGGCACAATCCTGAGGGATTGTCTCCAGGCAAAGGCAGCTAAGTGCACAGGTTAGGATTTACATTCTTGATTACTGAAAGAAAAACAGCTGTGTCAAAGTCAGTCTTAGCAAATGAATGTTATGACAACAAAACAAAACAACAAAAAGCAAAGAAACAAAAAACATGGTAAAGTAAATAAAAACAGTCACCAAGGGGCGTAAGAGATGGCTCATTGGTTAAGAGCACTCACTGCTCTTATAGAGGACATGAGTTTGGTTCCCAGCACCTACATGGCAGCTAACAACCATCCACCCTTCCAGTTCCTGGGGGAATCCAACACTCTCTTCTGGCCTTCACAGGCACTGCATGCATGTGGTGCACTGACATACTTGCAGGCAAGATACTCATACACATAAAAATAAAATTGAACAGTTACTAAGTACAAGCACTCTCCACTAATAATCAGTCTGTTTTCCATTCTTCTATGTGTGTATCTTTTTCCTATGTGAAAATCTTTAAAAAAAAAAATCTTCTATCTGTTGCTTGGCTTTTAACTCTTCAACCAAAAGAACCACTTTTTTGATGAATGGATCACCTTCCACTTCATGTAATGCCCCTGAAGGTCAGGAGAGGGTGTCAGATTCCCCTGGAACTGGAGTTACAGACAGTTGTCAGCTGCCATGTGGGTGCTGGGAATCAAACCCAGATCCTCTGCAAAAGCAGTCAGTGCTCTTAACTGCTGAGCTATCTCTCCAGCTCCTGTATATTAACTTCTAAAAGCACTATTATTAGTACAACAATTTTGCAATGCTTCCTTTCCACTTTCAAAACTGATTTTGGGGGAAGATACTACAAGACTCTGGTCCTTACAGTTTTCACCCTCTTCTCAAAACCCTCAGTGCTTCCACTGTTGTAGATTTCGGTTCAAGGCTTGGCACCAGTCATGGGAAATGCTTGTCTTGCACAATACTCAGGGTTCTAAGGCTGTAGGTGACTCATCCAGGGATGAGAGATCTTAACTTTTTCCCACAGTGACTTCCCTTTTGTTTTAAGCACACACACTTTCACATATGAGCAATAGCCACAGGTATTAAGAATATTTCCAATGGTTCAACCTTCAGAAGGAATATTTCATTACCTGCCCTTCCCACCGCTGCCATTTATTTTTTAATAACATGAGCTAATCAAATGCATATAGTTTCCACTAGAGATATGTGTTGCGTTGTTGAGGAGCTATTTCTTTTTTCCTGGAAAAAAAAAAGCAACAACAAAATAAACAATCTTTTCAAGACATATTCCTGTTAATTTGCTTTCCTATATCTGGGTAAGCACACCGTACTTCTCCTTGGGCTTTGAAAGATATCATCCATGCTGATCCAAATCAAACAGGCCTTCCAAGGGTCCTGACAATGACGTCTTCATTGAGTAAGAGCATGACTACGCCTCCAGTCCTTGTTTACTCTGTAATGCTGTGCCAAGATCTTGGCCTTTAGTGTGTACAGCATCCTTGGAAACAACACTTATTTATTTGGAGATAAGCTTAAGAATGCTTTTGCATTCACAACAAAATTTGAGGATAAAAGAAAATAGTGTGACTCTCTTAGGGGTCTGGAATTATTCTCTTTACCTAACCAAAGCACCTGAGTTAGATCAGAATCAGAAGAAGTACCCTAGGATAGTGCATTTATAAAACTATACCAGAGATAAAACAAAAGGATTTGCTGTAACAGGATTTTTTTTAATCCTTGATATTGAAAAGTTCTGAATATAAAAAGCAAACATTTTAACTTCTGAAGGATATTGATTACAGAGTCACAATGTTGAACTTTTAAAACAGGAATTTAAAAATCTACTCTTCATTTCCTAGTCTGAGGACATCAAGCTATCAGCAGAATAGTCTAATAACCCTATAACCCCCTTACTGGATTTAATTAAATTTCCTAATGGGTAAACATCACGACTTTGTCATCAGAAAGCATGGGAATATGAGCAAATGTGACATTTCACAATTTCAATCAGAAGTTTAAAAAAAAATTATGGTTTTGGCTACATTTTGAGTAATAGAACCAAACTTTTTCTTTAATTTTTAAAGGTCCCTTTAATCAATACCAGGAACCACACATGCTCCCTCCAGAGGAACTGAGAGGGAGTAGCAAGACACATTTGGTGCTTTGCTCCCTAACATGGCAGCCACAATGCCCTCGTCCACTTGCCCTCTGGTGTGGGCCAGCCTTGGGGCCAAGGCAGCAGGACGCTGCAGCATGTGGAGGCAGACAGTTCTGCTGGCTTCTGCTGGCTCCTCAGGCCAAACTCCAGGCAGGAGTTGGCTTTGTGGGGTTCCTGTCATCCTGCCAGCCCATGGCACTCCTGGGACACCGTGAGCCAAATCCCACATGAGAAGTCATCTCCTCACATCCTCCTCAGAGGTGGGGGGCTGGACTAAAAGGAGCCCTTCTATCTCATTTTATGGTGTTATGCACTAGCCAAGGAAAAAGAAAGAAAAAAGCAACTTGCTTAGCCTCACACAGAAGAAAGGAAAGGATTTTTCAAATGAAGGTTACACAGCTCTGTTTGTGATTTTTTTTCATTTACCAAGCATTTTTAGACATTTAAAGAACTGTGATTCTGTCTGTCCTGGGCCACATATTATTGCTTTGTCAAAGAGAATGGTCTAAAAGTCACTGCTGCACAAATACCAAATAACCTATGTGTCATGTGACAGTATCAATCTACAAAGCACATTAGAAAGCACATACATATTAAAAAGTGGGCATTCTCAAAAGAGAGGCCTTCATTGCCATTCTTAAGGCTGCTGACAATGTCCCTCTTCATAGGGTTCTTCACACTGCATGCATATGTAGATCCTTAGGTGAGTATTCACACACACATACAGATGTTTAGAAACAAACCTGGTCACCTCACATATTCAAGCAACCTTTTCTGAACCAACAAAGACACTCCTAAGTAATGTTTGAATTTTATTGTACTTTTTCCACAGAGAAACGAAAATCATAATCTTACATAATTTCTTTCAAATGGATAAACTTAGACAATTTATCAACGCTTCCTTAAATTTTTACAGCACAATGAACTCCAACAGGTTTTTGTTTTAAGGTAAACCAGGTTTCTGGCTCTTCCCTGTGGAGAAGTTACTTTCAAGTCAGTGAAAGTTCTTGGCCCATGATTAAAAGTCTTTGCCAATTAGTACTCAACAACTTCAATTCATTTTTTTCTGGTTCAAGATGAGTAGGAACCTAATAAGGCTGTGATAAAAGGGCAAAAGGCACTGAGAGCCAAAAGCGGATTAATGAGCTCCTCCATTTATTTGTCTTCCTAACAGCTGAACTGTTACAACTATTGACACTCTTCAAAAGGTTCCGCTCTGAACCCTGTCCAGGCACTGCAGGCTCCAATGGACATCTTCAAACCCAGAGAATGGCAGGGCAAGAGCTTCCCCTGTGTGATGCCAAAACCAACAAAGCCCCATGGATCAGGTAATGAAACTTCAGCTTCTCCCCCTTTGAGATTTATTTACTGGCAGCTGACAAGGGGCAAATTCAGCTCGAATAGTGCAGTCAAGGCCCTGTCAAGCTTTTAGAGGCACCCTTGTCTTGAAGCACCTTCATGACTGGCATTTTGCTCAAAAGCTCTCGGCACTGGTCCTTAACAGCTTATGACATCACAAAGGACACTCCAGACAGATGCCTACATGGCATCCTGCAGCATTTTAAAAGAGAATTAGTGGTTTTAATTATGGTCGTAGTATGAAAGGGAACCATGCAAGCACCACAGGAGACCTTTGATCAGACCCTTTTGCTAGTACAATGCCACGGAACTGTGACTATTCCTGGTAAGGGGCCTTTTCTTGCTGAATGACTCACCAGTGATCTTTGAATGCAGACAAGCTTCTAGCCCTCCCTCTTCATTAGTGAGCATTTCTATACAGGGGTCTATATAGTGCTTAGAGTCTAGGAGCTATACAATTGGGGGGAAAAGAATCCCTACAGATTCTGGCCTCTACTTAGGAAGTGCTGAAGGACTCTGAGTGACTTTATTCATTAAAACAGGTTGCTATTAATTAACTGTCATAATAAAATAAAGAACTATTATTATTTGCATTTCTTACTATGTTCTCTTTAGTAATATGTATAAAAGATGCTTGTAACAGAAATGAATTTATTGAACAACTTCCCCACCCCCAGCCTTGCTCACCCCCTTTTCTGCATTTGGGCAGCAGGAACCTATTAATTATTGGACCTAGATCTGTGAATCCAAATAGAAGTAAAACATAAATATGAAATTAATTAAGCACATATAAACTGTTTTTTAATTTTCCAGTTTCTACAACTGCAATAAGCAAACATTAAATGAGCTTTCCTTTAGTGATTAGATGATAAAACTCAAACCTTACTACTTGGTGTATAGATTACCTAACAACTATAATTTTTTAAAAAGGAATTTTAACTTGAAGCATAACAGAAGCCATTGTTTTTAGAAATTACTGCACTTGGGGCTGGAGAGATGGCTCAGCGGTTAAGAACACTGGTTGTTCTTGCAGAAGACCCAGGTTCGAATTCCAGCACCCACATGGCAGCTAACAACTGTCCGTAACTCCAGTCCCAGGGGATCCGACAGCCTCTTCTGACCTCCGTGGGCACTGCATGACATAGGTGCACTTACCTACATGCAGGCAATACATGCATACACATAAAAATAATAAATAAAAATTTTAAAAAATTACCGCACTTGGGAAACAGAAAATGCCTTTGGTCTGGAACAAATATTTTAAGCATCTAGCTTTTAGCATGGATCACACAAAGCATGGCCCTTATAGGACCAAGGCCAGCACTTCAGATATGTGCAGACACTCTTCTTCTAGAACCTAATGGAACACTGAAGACTGCAGAAGTAGGTGTTTTGAATGCTTTTCCTGGAAATGTTAATTTGGTCACATGGGAGAAGCACAATCTTGCATAGAGCATATGTTTTCACCCCTAATATCCATCATGGGTACTGCTGTGCCAGGTTCCTTGGATCTGGGAGAGGGTTTAGTTTTCTACTTTTATACAGATTCTTTACTTGAAGGAACAACTTTGGGACTTGAAGTTTGGGGAGAAGGATGAGCAGGTTTGCCACACTTTGCTGCCTCAGACCTTTTTCCTGTTTCTTAGACTTTGCAGTTCTTTTCTTAGGTGCTTGAGAGCAGCTAAGATGTCAGTTCTCTGTGGATCATTCTGCACTTTCTGAGTGTAGCGACGGAAATGTCTGATGGTTTCCAACAGCAAGACCTCAGGGTCCGTGTCCACCCCTGGATGGCGCAGCATCCTCTCGCAGGCAATGGCATAGTTTTTGTGCCAGTTCACAGGGTGTTCCTCTTGCAAAGAGACAATCTCTTTATAAAGCTAGAAGACAGCAAATATTGGTATTCCATTGTTACCATAACATTTTTTTTTGTTGTTTCCAAAATCAGAAAACAGAAAGGAATTAATAATACAAGGGGAAAAAAATCCAAGCTGCCTACAGTAAAAAATCTAATCACTGCCAGGCCATGCAGAAAATGCAGGGATGTCACTGCGATTATTACAGTGGCGGGAGGAAGATGTGCTTCAGCTAAAAATGCTTCTGGGGCTTTTGATGTTGCAGGAGGAACCTGAGACACACTGTGTCAGGACGAAATACTCTTCCTCCAGAAAGATGTTCTGAGAAAGGGATTTAGTTCTAACTGGTTGAAAGCTATTTACTCAACAGGCAGAGAGGCTGAAACTCTAAATTTAGCTGCTGAAGGGAAAAAAAAGCTTTCTTTAGCAGACCATGTGGAAAAGACTTGATGGAATTAAAATTTTGTTCCACATTATTTACATGGATTTCTCTCCATGTTAAAAACAATACAATAGTAAAGTTAGCAATAAGACAATCCAAGCAATTCCATTGTTATCAAGTACGCTGGACTTAACAGAATCAAAGATGCCCTTCAAGGGAAATATCTAAAATCTTCGCACTATCCCATCATTTACTACCTTGATAGCTAAAACTACGCCCATAGAACTCAGAGTTTTTATTTTCAGATACAGTATTAAAGATGCAGGAGAAGTTTTTCTTAAATGTCAGCATTTTCTGTGTATATGTGTATGTTTATGAGTGTGTATGCACATGTAGAAGTCAGAGGACTATTTGTGGGAATTTATTTTCTCGTCTACCAGGGATCGAATTCTGGTCATCAGGCTTGGTACCAAGTGCCTCTACCTGCTGAGTCAACTTATGGGCCCAGAACTCTTGATACTGAATATTCTAGAGGAAATGCATCAAATTTTAACAAATAAACAGAACCACATATAAATTTATACACTGGGATGTTATGCTTCCATCTGTGGAATTTCACAGTCAAGTTAGCCTAGGTAACCAGGAGTACTCTAGTAGACTGAGTGCAGAACAGAGGGAATTTGAATTGAACTGAATTGGAATTAGAATTGTGTAGTTGAAAGGGACTAGTCACATTATCTACTTCCCCATCTCCTTCAAAGTAGCTAAGTGCATGCCTACTTTAAGACAGCATCTTTGTTGAAAATTCCACAACCCATGTGTGACTGGTCACTTGGAGATTTAGTAGCCCCTGGTCCTCATGCTCTTTCGAAGCAGCTATCCCTTAGTTCCCTTCACACTTTCATATGCATTAAGTGTAGGACCCTGAGACCCTCTTCATTCACCCACTACCCCCCAATCCCTCCAGACCCCCACTAATTGCTCTTTTAGCTTCTGTAAAATGCTTGGCTGCTGCTTTAGACATGCCCAGACATGCCCTGACCCCCACCTGCTATCCCCCCCTTCCAGGAAACTATAGATTAAGCAAGCCTGAGCATAAAAACTGCCCTATAACATAAAAACAGAGGCGAAGGAGCGACTGGAGCCAATCGATAACGCT